TCATTGTTAGCAAAGAAACAGCTGAGGAAGCCGACAGCTATGAGGCAAATCCTTCATCTTAGCAGTACCTGCCCAGTGCTGGCTGGAGGCTGAACTTGAGATATTGGATACTGCGTCGGCACAGGTGGAACTCCTGCAGGAAGTGTTGTGAGGACGCCTGGGGCCATTGGCACTGCGGGTGGAACTATGCCTGGAACACCATATGGAGGCTGAACCGGTTGCTGAGGAGGGGGAACGACAGGATAACCAGACTGATATCCATTGGAAGGGTAATATGATGGCTGAGAAGGAACGCTGTTGATGGCAGCAGGCTGTGCAAAGCCTGCAGAGAGAAGAGGAGGAAAAAAGGGCCATCGTTAATGCAGCCAAGAGTCACGAAAGCAGTGAACTAATTACAAAGCGTAAAGGAAACACGGCTGCTTTCGACACAAGGAGCAACACAAAGACTTCCACAAAGGCCTTCCGCCAAACCGAGCTCCACAAAACACAACACCAAAGGTTTCAGTCTTGCCAACGTTACCTGCCAAAGGTACAGCTGTCGTTATCTGATTCACAAACCGGGAGTATTCAGCATGGACCTGCAAAGGACGTTCAGAGGTGAGAAAGTGAGCATCCGATTCCTACACCGCAATCTCGCAGGCAAAGGGCAGCTGCCTGCTCATAAAACCACAGGGGAACTTTGACTGCAGAACACGCTGCACACAAAGGCACAGCAAGAATCCAAACATGAAAGCTGAAAAAAGATCAGGAATTCAAAGCAAAACCTACCAAAACAAAAACAAAAGTGGAACAAACCACTCATCCTGCAGGTCTGAGTCACAGTTGTGTAAAACGCAGGAAAGCCTTTCAGAGGATATACAGCATGGCAAGGGAGCTGCTTTGTTAAAAACAAAACACTTAAAGCATCTAAAAGCTCCCAGACGTATTTGTCAATATTTGTCCTTGGATATGGGCTGCAGAAAGGCCCTGTCTGACAGGAGTTTACTCTCTTTTCAGTGCTCTGCTTTGTTGCATTCAAGTTAAAAAGACTGAGAAATGAATTTCACACGTTTGAGAGATCAAGAACATTCTTCTGGTGCCAACCATAAGAATCTCTTTAGGAGAAAGAGACTGTGTGCCTCTGGACATTGTTTAAAGCTAAAGCAACATCAACTCTGAAACTCGTAAGAGCTACTCACGGTTTGCAACAGATTTTCACACAGCTTTTTAGCAGCTGCCAAACCTTCTGGCTTTGGGTGACTGAAAACAAACAGAAAAATCCATAAGCACATTTATGCTGACCTGGGGAGCTCTTCCTTCCCAGCAACCTGCTGCCAGACGTTTGCGTTTTAGGGAGCCTCAGCATACCTGATGTAGATGTACATGGGTTCAAAAGCTTCTCTGCCTGATGCTGGCTCGATGCAACCCGAGCCTTTTCCACGAAGGAAGACTTTGGCACCTGTTTCAATCTGAATGTGCTGCAGATAGGAGCAGCCGGGCCCTTCCACCTTCTCCTTCACATTAAATGTAGGTACAGCATGCTCCAGACCGACAAATAATTTGTCCTGAACGTAATGCATCTGTGAAAGTAGAAGTAAAAGCTGATTGTTTCACTCTTAGGATGAGGACGTTGCTTTCACTAGAGGCCAGAAGTCAAGTCAGAATGCTCAGTGTTGGATGGCACAGTGGGCCCTTTGCCTTCCTCTACATAGGACTGCTCTCTCCATCCCTTTTCTTCTAGGAGATCACTGTCACCTGAGCCTCACCCTTCAGACTCAGTCTGACCAGTCCTCCAGTTCCCACCACGGCCCCATAAGCGTTTATTTCTCTCCATAAGCAGCACATGACATGCATACTTGTAATTAACTAATTGAAGTCACGAACCAATCACTCACCCCTGATTGGAATGGAGGCTTCTGACCAACTGCTGGAGACATCTGAGCGATGGGGGCTGGCTGGTGGTACACAGTCACTGTAGCTCCATTGAATGTTGGACTGGAACCTGTGGCAGCCTTCACTACTCCATTAGTAATTATCTCCTTAATACGATTAACAGCTCCTAGTCGACAGGATATGAAATCCATTTGTATTTCAGCAGTGGGAAGTTCCTAACAGCCCCCAGTGCTCCCCACAAAATCATCTGTGCTGATAGGATACACAGATATTCATCTTTTGGTAAACACAGCACTAAGAGATGTCCTCATGCCCAACGGGGAAGCAAACATGACAAAAACATCCCTAACCCTGCACTGAATTCACAACTGCACGAATGAGCAAGGTAAGAAGAACTGCTGGCTGTAGGAGGTAAATACAGGTGGGCAGCTCTACGGTTAGCTTGGGAACACGAGCAAAATGCCTTCAGCTTCTGCATGCAGAAGGAACTTCCACGTGAGAAACTGCTCTGCTGCTGCATCCTGGTATGTGATGAGTTATTTCTGCTGGTAAGCTCATGGCCACGGATCCAAAGGGGGTTGGTGGACATCTCAGTGCTCAGCCACCCCCAGAAACACGAGCACCTCCCCATTAAACTGATGGCTGTTAACTGCCCTCTGCCTGCTCCCCTTCAGGATCCACAAACCTCACAGTGAAGCACTGGTGCTTTCGCATTACGCTGATCAACACAGATTATTTACAGCGCAAATCCCCATCAGCCACAACAAAACCCATCAGCTACAAGACTGCCTGAACACACTGCCAATAAGTAGCATGAGAAGTGGAATGCTTGGCACACTTACTGTCAACCAGCTCCCTTGTCTGACCCTGGACATGAAGATACAGAGGGCGATCTCTAGGGAAAAAACATCAAACATCCCATGACATAACAGAGTGAGAACCTCATCGCTTCAACACCCAACTACAGAGAAAGCAGAAATACAAACCCAGGTCCCACTTTTGCTTTCTCCTCTGCAGTCATGAACCGCCCTCGAGTAGAGACAGCAGCTCCACTCAGTCGACTTATCTGAAAGCAATTAAGAAAACAGAAAAGCTTAGTGATAACAAGCAGAACACACACAGCTTCAAAGCAGTTGAAGTTAAGTTGCCTTACAAAGAGACCAGAAAATGTTATTAAGGTAGGAAGAGAATGAACAGTGCTGCTGAAGAACACTGGCCGTGCTGCCTCACCTCATGACAGGAGGCATTATTGAACACACCAACCAACCACTAAACAAAGCACCTTAGAAAACACTGTTTTTGTAACAGAAAGCTGAACACACGTTGCCACGAACTCTTTTAACCTCAACGAAGACGCAGACCTCGAGCTGCCAAGCCAAAGAATGCAGACCCAGCTCCTGAACGTACCTCATCCTGGGTCTGCCCCCTCGTCAGGAGGTTTCTGCATGTGAGGGGCACGTCGTTGATTTCCACCTCTGCCACCACGAGGTCATCTTTGCTTTTATTTGTGGCCGGGCCTTTCCCCAGAGCCTGCAGCTTCAAAAACAAGCGTTGCAAAGACCGGTGGTTGGAAAAACGAGTAATAAGCAAACAGAGCCTACAGGTCCAGGTTGGGTGAGCAGCCATTTTAATTTCCTCTTACATCTGTTGAACCCTCAAATCCATAAAATTATTCACAGGAAGTGCTTTAAAACGAAAACTTTAATCACTTAACACCGCACAGCTTAAAAATCGAGTGATAAACGTTATTAGGTTTATCTTCAGGAGATTTTGAGGTAACAATTAGTACTGGAGCTCTGCAAAAGGAGAAATAGACATAGAAACGAGCAACAACACTGTGCCAATGGAATCCACAGCGTCATTCACTTGAACTGGCATTCCTGACCAATGCTGTGCTCCCAGAGGAGCGCTCACTGCTGCACCTCACAGTCAGAAGGCAGCAAGAAGTGCTTTCCATGCACAGAGAGCAGAGAACCATCTCTGTTGACTGCAATGTGGGGCACATTTGGTGTCCTTTCGTGTTACCTACAAATAACTCCAATGACTGCTTGGTCTCAGACCACTTCAAATGTGGAACTCTCAGAACATGCTGCTGTGCCACTCTATCAGACTCAAAACATAAATAACCTCCCCCGTTGTTTCCTTACGCCTCACTCCACTTTTCCCACGTATTCCTGAAAGCTATTTGAGAAAACAGCAGATCGCCCTAACCCCCTCCCGGAGCCCGGCGCTCCCCCCGCCCCTCTCTCACCTTATCCGCCGCGTTGGGCGCCGGCTTCAGCTTCCCTTTGGCCATTAACATCGCGTTGATCTTCGCTGCCACAGCCGCGGCCGCATCCAGGGCCCCCGACGGAGCCGCGGAGCTCTCGGAGACCCCCACGGCGGTGCCGCCATCTCCGCCGCCGGGGAAAGGCCGGCCGGGCAGCGGAGCCGCACCAGAGAGAAGGAAGGCGGGGGCCGGGCCGGGCTGATCCCATTTGCTGCGCCGCCTGCAAGCGGAGCAGATCGAGGAGTGCCTTCAACGCGCACCCGTTGGAGGCCCGGCGCCCGGCGCTCCGCGAAACCGCCGCCCCGAGGCCTCCCCGCCGCAGCGCCCGCAGCCCCCGGCCTCACCCGCCCGCGGTCCCAGCGTCGCGCTGCCCGCCGCCTCCCGCTGACATGGCTCCGGCCCGGCTCCACCGCCTCCGCGCGAACCGCAGCGTCATTTCCGGCCAACGCGCGGCGCCGTAACGTCACTTCCGGCCGTTGCCATAACGACGGCGCACGCTCGGCACCGCGCGATTTATGTCACGCCAGATGGACCAGGCCCTCCATGGACAGACGGGAGGGAAGGCCGAGAACCGACAGCGGGCAAGCGAGGTGGAGCGGGGCGGGACCAGAGACGTGGCGGACCTCCCACTTCAGGGCTACGAACGCGGCCCAGCCGTGTTCAGGCCCGGCCTAAGCGAGGAGCGCGAGACGAAGGCGGACGGCAGGCGGCAGTAACGCCACCGGCAGCGGAAGACGCGGGCGCCCCCTGAGTGCTTTTACGCATGCGCACTTCTCACTCCCGCTAGCACAGCGCCCCGCCTCTGGGCGAGCTGCGCATGCGCGCTAGCTCCGTTTCCAGTCAGAGCTGGTTTCCTGCCCCGCGCTGCTCGCAGCCCCGCTTCAGCCGTCCTCACAGCGCCCAGTGCCCGGTTTGCTGTTTCCCAGCGTCTTTCTCACCGAGTGCGACCAAATGCCCTCGATTCGTTTCGTGAGGGTCTCAGGTGTCGTCTGACCCCCTGGGACGGACCCTGGGGTCCTAAGAGTCGCAGACGCAATGACTGCCACGCAGATGGAGCTGTAATGAAGGCTTTATTATTTCACAGACTTTTGTAAGCAGTGCAGGATATCAGTAATCAGAATCGGCACAGCACAGATCTTCATTAGTAGCAGCTTAGAGTTATGAGGTGTGCCCTCATCACCTGGACCAGGCCAAACCCTAACGCTGCTCACTCTGAAGGTCATAATCTGACCCCAGAACGCACCCAAAGGAAAACATGTGGCTCAATCCGTCCTCAGAGGTGCCCCTGACTGAGGGGATTTCTGTTGGCTGCAGCTCCAGCCTGCAGCCCATGGGCGGGTGCTGCCCAGCTCCCAGCGTTCCATGGCACACCCTGTTCCCCTTTGTGTCATCATCTGACATCATAAAAGGACAGAAGCCTCTACATCAGTGTTGGCTGAGGCCCGGCTCAGTGCCTCCTGGCAGTCGCAGAGTTGCCCTCGCATCCAGTTTTCTCTAGAGGACACAAGGAGTCTCTTGTACCTCAGAGGACAAAGGAGAAGAGAGCTATTCGGCGAAGGACAGAGAAGGGTATCAGAAGTGTTTCCTGGTAGGAAACATCAGAAACCTTTCGTTCTTTAGCTTCACGTGCCCACCTGAAGCAAGAGCATGGTCAGCCTGCTAGAGCTGATTGCTAACATCGAGCACTGGAACGAGACTGATGGCTGCAGCACAGTCACGTTTCCCACACTCGAGAAGCTTTCCACCAATGGTAAGGCATTTGGGAAACTCGGGAGATCTATTTGCTCCTGAGCTGTAGACCTCTCCCAGTACTTTTAGTCCGAAGTCTATCCAAAATTCAGTCCGTGTCATGGATGAATTTACCCCAGGAGCTGTGGTAGATCACACCTGCCATCTCCTTGTTTAGAAACGTGCTAACAGGCCATAAACTTGCTGACTTAAAGCATTCTGTGTCTTTTCTTGCATTGCAGATGTCACTACCATTTGGAACAGTGTTTTCAAGCGTGTTCAGCAATTGCTCCTGCTGAAAAAGGTGGGACTGCACCCTACCCCTCCCCTTGCCCAACAGCCTCCCCTTGCCCAATGGCTGCAGTAGCCCAGGTAGCCCTGGACCAACAAGTGCCCTTGCTCTTCCACATACAGACGTGCCACAAATGTGCCAAAGACCACTTCCTTCAATCACTGAAGATACTAAAATAGAAGTACAGTACCTATGCCAAATACAGTAATGCAAATAATAGCACCCAAAAGTATTCCCAATTTGCTTCTCTGTTCCTCGCTCCCAGAGTGCAGAGCACACACACAGCTGGGGATGCTTGGAGAGCAAAGGAAAGGGAAAGAATGTGTCCAAGTGCCTGGTCTTTTCCAGCCCCCCCGTCTCAGTGTTGTGCATTAGGAGCGGGGAAGCCATGGGACACCCCTTTGCAAGCTGCCACAAGTCCTCACTCTGTCCTTCTCCTTTTTGTTCCAGCCTCTGGCTGTCAGCATCACCGGACTGGGGACATTTTGGATTCAAAAATGGCAAGCCCTTGAGGATGGCAAGATCCTCACGTTTCGGAGACCGCTGTTTTTGCTGTCCAAGGCTGTTACACAGATCCGGGATTTCAAATACTTTCCGATACACTTGCCTGGTAAGACTAATTAAGCAAAAATTTGGCTTAAATACATTTGCTCACTTATCCTAATTAGCAATCCTTGGTGGTTAAGACAGCACTCTGGCAGTGCACTTAAACCAGAAGCTCCTGGTGTGTTATCTGGATCTGCTCAGCTGCTGTGTGACTCAGTCACCTTGTTCCTCTTTTCCAGCTGACAGTGAGATAGTGGAGCTGAACTGTGAGACCATACGCCTGCACAGCTCCTATTCTCAGCAAACAGTGCAGGGCTGTCTGTTGGAGACTTTGGAGTATTTCTACCACATCCTAACAAATGGAGAAGATGCAGACTTCACATTAAAGGACATCGGCACTCTCGCTATCCGAGCGGAGCAGGTGGAAATGACATTCTGTGAAGACTTTTTACTGCATCTTAACACGTCTACATACCTGGTACAAAAGCTTTTCAATGTAAGTGTTTTGGTTTTTTCCTGCACTTCTTACAGCGGGTTTGAAATCCTGTACAAAGCCAGGGAACCCAGCTCTGCTGCCAGCCGTGAGCTGCCAGGCCACTGGAGCTAGGCATCCAGCAGTGAAAACTGTCTCTGTGTTCTTTCTTGTATTTGCATTAGTTCAGAGGTGCTGGGAATGAACACAGTCTTATTTTTGCTGGCAGGGCATAGCCCTGGAAAAGCCTCACCACAAAGAGGAAAAAGGCCAAAGCAGTGGTGGGGCCAAAGCTGTTTGATGATGAAAGCAGCAGCCAGAAACCCGGACTCAGGACAGGCCTTCCATTGTGTTTGCTCCATTGCCTTGTTCAGTGCTGAACAAGTGGCCACTCTGCTGGCTGAGCTGCTAAGCGCCGTCCTTGCAGTAAGGCTGGCAACACTCCTCATCCTATCAGAATATGTGCCATGCAGCTTGCTTTGGCAAGAGGCTGAGGCACTCGTCAAGAAGTTTGCTGAGAGACAGTGAATTCTTCCACGTGTAGAAAAGCCTTTGTGAGCACTGAGATTCTTTCCCTGAAGTCACATCAGGTCTTTCTGTCACTTGCAGAAAAGATGGGTCATCTCAGACAAAGAAACTGCTCTCCTGCCGAGCCCACTTGGCCAAGTCCACCTGTTGCCAGAGTGAGTATATTTGTTCCCTGAACTTATCTGGGTAAGTTTGGATGTGCTCAGCTCATATTTGGTTGTTTCAGCTCATATTTTGGCTCTTTCAAACGGTTTGGCAGCTCATTTTTTCCTTGCTTTTGCTAAGCTTGGACTTAATGTTCCTGATTGTGCTCTGCATTTTACCATTCGTCCAATCACAGGCAACTGGTTTGCACTGCAGAGACATTTAGGCAATGCTCTGATGTTTCCTCCACCTCTTTTCTGCACTCGAGACTGCCAAAACATTGAACAAAAGGCAGATCCTAATATTGCTGTCATTTTCAACACAACATGGAAAGCATCTCTCAGAACGTGGAACAAAAGGAGATGATGCATGTCCTCTGCCCGTGGCGTTTCCACGTTTGTTGTGAAAGTCACATCCATCTCAGTACCTCTGAAATGCCTTCTTGTGTCAAGAGGGGCTGCTGAGCTGTTCCTGAGGCCAGCACTGTTCACTGGCTCCTGTTTAGGGCACATAATGTAGTCTGTACAGATACCTGGCACTGATCTGGCAAAGGAGCCCTTTTCACAGAATGGCACCTTCTTCCTATTTCCAGGTTTGTGATCAAGGAGGTTCCTCAACTTGATACGATGCCAATGCCAGAGGAAAAGCTACTTGAAAGAAAAGGTAACATTAATGACTGATCCTTGAGAGGTTTGTGCCTCTCCCTGTACTCCTTCCTAGTGGCTGCTTAGAGCCTGTGGTACAACGAGATGCCTGGGGCAGCACTCCGTGTGCCTCTGTCCACAACTTCTGGTAAACATCAAGAGACACATCTGGAACAAGATGGGACGTGTGTCCCCCCTGCCTTCCATGCCCCACAGTGCATCTCTTCCTCGTTATGAGTTTGTGCTGGAGAGAGTGAACTTCTAGGAAGTTCAGCACTGGGAATTACAAACGCTGTCTTAAGTTCTGGGGATCAGAACAGCTCCTGAAATCAGAGTGCTGTTATGCAGGTCTGTGCCTGCAGTTCTGAGAGCCTTTCTCCTTTCCTGTTTACAGAGTCTCTTCTCTGCAAGCTACGCAGACTACGAAGGACCATTTCTCTCAGCACATTAACCACAGCTGAGAGCGACAATGAAGAGGAGCCTGCTGACAGGTGACAGTTGTCAAGGATTTGAGTGGAGTGCTCTTGTGCCTGTGTGATATTGGCACTGATGCTGCTCTTTCAGCAAAGCAGCATTCCAACCAACGTGTCCCAAGGAGGCAGAGCAGCATCTGTCTGCAGTGCTTCTTCATGCTTCCTTTAGTTCCTGAAAAGCCTCTTTGTTGGTAATGCTGAGGACAAGAATAGGCTTCATGGCTCTAGCCCATCTTTTCTGCCTTTGGCAGTAACGACCCCTTTTCCTTCACTAAGTAATGCAGTATTTGAGACCACATCAGGCCAGGAAGGGGGATGCCAGCATGGCCAGTCATTGCACAAGGCACAGTTCCTCATTCCATCAAGAGGGACAAAGAGCTGTGTGTCCTGAACTTTCCTTAGAGAAAACCCTCGTTCCCTTGGTGGCACATCTGAGCATTACAGCTCAGTGCTGTTATCCCCCATCTGCTGGTGGGAAGACAGTTGGGTGAAGAGACTTCATCCTGCTGAGGAAGAGGGCTGGACGGAGAAGAAATTCCTCCTGCACTCAGACCGACTCCCCTTGGTCTGTTTGTTGTTTTTTTAGACCTCTCTCACAAGTGCCAGCTGCAGAAGGAAGGCAGGAGAGAGGAAGTCCCACCTTTCCAGTGGTCATTTCTCATCCTGAAGATGATCCAGATAAGCTGTCGGCTTGGATCCAGGAGAGGAAGCGATTAATTTCTCAGCTAGAAAGCTCTGTAGACATTGAGAAATGGCTGAGAAATAAATCTTCCCGGAGCCACGTGGAAGAGAGAGTCTGGGAACGCATAAAGTCACGCAGAGCAGAGAGAAGGGCTGAACGCAAAGCAGCTGTGACTGATAAACTGGGCGTAAGTAGATGTGTTACTTCAGCCTTGGGATCACTGCACTGCATCCTCTGTGGCCTCAATCAGTAGAGCGATGCTGCTCTGTCCCAGCCACTCGCACGTCTCCTGGCATGGTGATTCTGGCAGTGGGGATGGCAGGGTATTTTCCAATTCCTTTCCAGGACACAACACCAGCAAGCAGCAAGCCTCAGCCCCCTCCTTGCATACCGTACCCCGAGGCTCTCATTGCACTGCATAACCTCCTGCGCAAACGGAAGACAACACTGGTGAATATCTTCAAGAAAGCTGGCATGGAAGGCAGAAATATCAAGAAAGCAGACTTCATTAAAATCATCAAGCAGGTATGGAGGGCACAGGGAAGCAATAAACAGCTCATGCTGACCCTCACCTTCCACAGGCTTCAGTGGTAAAGAGTTGTCAGGATCACATTCAGGTCAATTAGGGCTTAGCACTTCAGACACTTTCTGATAGTCTGGCCCATGACAAAATATAGTCTTGATACCCAGGGGGCTGGGAAGTTTAGCACAGTAAAAAGCTGAGAGCTCAGCAGGGCTGGCAGTGGGCAACCATGCCTGTGGCAGGGCAGTTGGAACTCGATGATCCCTGAAGTCCCTTCCAACCCCAGCTATTCTGTGATTCAGAGGGCAGCAGCACAGCGGTCCATTTGTCAGTGTTTGGTAACCCCACGTAAAGCTCACCCGGTGGCCTCCTGCTCTGGGGTCAGCCTTGTTTGTTGTTTTATTGATCACACTGCCATTTTCTGTTTTGGTTGTCAGGCAAACATTCCCATCAACGAAAAGGAGCTGGAGGATGTGATCATCTTTTTGACTGCCCCTAACCGTGGGAAATATACGACCGTGGCAAAGCTAATGGAAAGTCAAAATGAGTGGCTGGAAATGAAGAAAAAAGAATCCAGAGAGACCAAAGGGGGTAAGAGGAGAACACTGGGCAGGGAAACTCCCTCTGTATCTTTTCAGACTATGGAATGTCTCCATGAGATGCATCTGTTGGGGGCTATAATGCACAAAATGCCAAAGTCCTTTGCCTTACAAGCATTGGTCAGCCCTGATGTTTCCTTCTGCTACTGTCTAACATGGTTTCTCTGGGCTTTCTTTTTGAACTCTTCCAGGTGCAAAGACTCAGCCCCATAAAGCCACATGCAAATCTGCCACACCTCCACGTTCTGTTGAGGGCAGAGCCAAAGAGATGGATCCTACCAAGCCCCCAGTGAAGTTAACACCCTTAGAAGTTACCCCAGTCCATGCTGAGCCAGCACAAAGACATCAAACAGCCCATGAAAAGAAAGAGTCTACAAAACCATCTGGAGACGGGACACAGAAAACTGTCAAGAGACGAGAGGTGAAAAAGGTACTGCTCACATGGCAACCAAACCTTCTTGAGATTAATCCTCATCTGGAGCTTCTCCGAAGAGAATGGAGCAACTCCAGCTCGGTGCTGAATGCTAATCAGAGCCTTTCTTTTGCTTACAGGGCAAGGGCAGCCCAATCAGAGCTCAGCTGGAGAGATCTGGGGAGCTAACTGTTAAAGAGCACTGCTTCCCATCAACTACAAGCAGTGCCATGGGAGCACTGGTCGACCAGTACCGCAGCAAGGCGGCTGCGAGTTACCTGAATTCCTCCAAGCTGTGCAAAGAGCGTGACATTCATCTCGCCGAGTCAGTGCTGCAGAGAGGTAAAGCAACCCCCAGGGCCTGAGATGAATCTGACAAGCTCGTCCCTTCCCCTGCCCAGAAACACGACCAATGTATGGGGAGGGGAGCTGCTTTTGGAGAATACTTGCAGCCCTTGGAGGACTGGTTAGGATCAGCAATCCCATCAGTGTAGATGAGCGCGCAGAGTGCTCCAGATCATGGCCAGGTTCAGCTAAGAGCACAAATGATGAGGCAAGCTCACGGCAGTGGTACAGGGAAGGCAAAACTGGGAAGTCAGGCCCCTGTTAGGTTCAGTGGGTCCACGGCCAGGCAGAGCCATGGCTGTGGCTGAACTGAGGTCTCAACTGAAATGGGGCTCCTGATCCCAGGGCAGAGAGTGCAGGCAGAAGCCCCACACAAAGCTGCTTAGGGCCACTGAGGCCTCTCAGCACATGCTGGACCATCATCCATGCCTTTGTGCCTTACACAGTAGCTGTAACCGCTCCAGGGCAGCATCACAGACATAAACTAGAGGTGACCTAGATTGGATGTGCTTTGCCAACAGGCCTGCTGCACCCAGGAGACAAAACCATCAAAAAAGGACGATATCTGAGGAAGATCAGGCAGCCTGGAGGATACTACAACATAGGACTTGCCGATACGTCCTCACCTCTGAGCATGTCCAGGTCATCAAAAAGTACAGCTGGAAACCTGGGCAAAGAAGGCAAAAACAAGAAGGCTTCAGAGGAGTTTTGCCATTACGAGTAAGAGTGGTCATATTGCCTAGAAGTTTATGCTCATAAAACAGGCTTCATTCTTTCTTATTCTCATTTTATTTTCTTTTTTCCTTTTTTTCTTCTCAGATCTCATCAGAGGAATCAGAAAGAAAAGAGCAACAGGTTCTGGCCAGGTCACCTTCTGGACAAGATGCGCCTCTGCATTCCAGAAGAGAAGATCAACAGGGCGCACCCCTTGTTCAGCTGTGTTCGCCCAACCCGGCCTGCATACAAGATTATCTAAAACCACAACCAGGACCAGCCAGCCACTGTCTGTGTCCACCAGAGACGTGGCATCCAAGTCTCATTCCACCTGAAGGTCTTCCAGCAGCACAAGATGTGCACAGAACGTTGCATTTCATCATCAGCTCAAGAGATCTGAGCCGTTCTGATAAAGCACAGACACAGAATACCCTGAGCTGGAATGGACCCACAGAAGTCATCTGGTCCAACAATTCAAACCCAAATAAAAAACATCATCCATCCAATTCTCAGGACTACTTGCATTCTATAAATGGAGAAATAGAGATAAGCAACACTGCACCAATGGAATCCACAGCGTCATTCACTTGAACTGGCATTCCTGACCAATGCTGTGCTCCCAGAGGAGCGCTCACTGCTGCACCTCACAGTCAGAAGGCAGCAAGAAGTGCTTTCCATGCACAGAGAGCAGAGAACCATCTCTGGTGACTGCAATGTGGGGCACATTTGGTGTCCTTATGTGTTACCTACAAATAACTCCAATGAGAAAACCACTGCTCATTTTCTGAACAGTTCAAATTAGATATGGAGGTTGTCTGCCCTGCCTGTGGCAGGGGGTTGGAGCCTGATGATCTTTGAGGTCCCTTTCAACCCAAGCCATTCTATCATTCAAATTACCAAGAAGGTAATGCAGAGGCCAAGCACATGGCACACTAAATGTGACAAGCTAGCTCCTGTCTCCTGCCATGCCCAGAAGCATGAGCACTGTACGGGGCGAGGAGCTGCAGATGGAGAGTGCTTGCAGCCCTTGGAGGGCCATGGCAGATAATGCTGCCAGGATCAGCACTCCCATCAGTGGGCTACAGCTGAGAGAGCAAAGAGTGCCCCAGATCAGCCACAGCCCATTCACCTGGGTTTGAAGCCAGGTTCAACCAAGAGTGTGAACCGAGACAGGAGCTCGTGCTGGAGGGCAGGGATGTCAGAGTCTGGTCAGGTTCACACAGGTAAACCAGCCATTACTGGCCCACTGGTGGCCTTTTATCATCTGTTTCTTAGAATGCTTTGTTCCGATAGGTTGTGTATCAATATTGGTTGTTAAAAGCAATAAAACTTCCAAAAAGTTTGTCTTGCATCTAAAAAGTTTCTACTTATTTTATCAATCCGTGCTGCTTTTTGACTGATAGTTCTGCAATATCAGTATTACAGCTGTAATGTGGTAACAAATACAACAAATCAAAGCAAAACCGGGGAGAAAAAATAAAATGTGAGAAGTCTCAGATCTCTGGGCTCCAAAATGACCTGAAAGTCATTCAGTGTCCATGGGGAGGTCTCTCTTCAGAGCCTGTTTGAGTCTGCAACTCTGCTGAATGCTTTAATATCTTGCATAGGGGAATTTAGTACTTATTTTTAAGACTGTCTGCTGAAAGAACCCAACTTGTTTGCAATTTACACTGAATCCACTGAATGCAGTTAGGAACAGTTTGTTCTCTCTTTCTGTGTTCTCTATTAAGGTAAAGCCATAATTAATATTACTCATGTTCTGATCAGAGCACAGCAGGCATTGACCTCGTGGCTTTTCTTTGGGGCAGGGCTGTCTCTCTCTGTAGATTTGTATCATTTAAATAGGCAAATGCTGTGCTGGAAACCCAACAGGATTTTTTTTTTTAAATAAAAAAAAAAAGTCCTTCAGGTATTTTTCTACCCGAAATTCATAACTTTGTTGTTCCTCACAGCTTTTCAGATCGAGGTAAACATGAATAAAATCAGCGCCATTCAGGTGAAAATTGGCGGGAAGCGACGGCCGCGCTCTCCCACCCCCCCCCCCTGTGCGCAAGACACAGCGCGGCGGGGGGGGCCTTCGACCCCCCCCCCCCCGCCTTTTGCACACGGCCCGAAGTTACCTCAGCGCAGGCGGCTGTCGGGCCGGGCCGCCGAGGCGCTCCAGATGCTGCGCTGAAGGAGAACGATGGCGACTGCTCAGAAGCCCAAGAACTGTGTGGTACGGTTTAGTTCCATCGCAGCGTCTTACTGAAGTAAAAAATAGCGAATCTTAGCTTAAATCAAACACCCATCTGTGTCGTAAGCTTTCTTCGCTTGAAAATTTGGGACTGTTCCGTTTCTAACTCCAAATAAAGGTGCTCAGTGACAAAATAGGGTTAAAGCTCCAGAGTGTAATGTGTTTGTGTAAATGAGTGATGTCTTAAAGCATCGTCACACCAAGCATTACGGGTGGGGGCTGTGAGTTGATAGCTGGACTTCATAGAATCATTAAGGCTGGAAAAGTTGGTTATGAGATGCCCTCCCCTGTTGTGGGAGGCATTCCTGTGTGAGGCACCCACAGCTCTGGGCAGCCCTGTCTGATGATCCCAGGCAGTTCTCTTAGAGCTCTTCTCCAGACTCAGTGGTGCTATGAACACACCTGGCTTTGTAAGTGCTGAAAATCACATCTGCCATTTAAAGTGTTTGGTAGGCAGGCTGTAATCCGTACAGATTTGGTGTTGAAAGGTGACTGATTTCTCTTTTGCAGAGTGCAGTTGTGTTTCCCAATAAAATATACACAGAACAGCAGTCCCTGACTCTCGTGAAGAGGCTGCTGGCTGTGGCAGTGTCCTGCATTACCTACCTGAGAGGGATCTTCCCTGAAAGCGCCTATGGGACCAGATACCTGGATGGTAACAGGCTGTTCTCAAGCTTTTTTGCATAGCAGATGAGCCCAGGGTGGTTGTTGAGTTTGTTCTTAAGCCACTTCATTCATTTAATTAAAGGCAGTAGCTATTTCCTATGACCACACTGAAACTTTACTGTACAGTCGTTATTGAATGCTACTAAAGATAGCAGTGATGCTGATAGAGCAATAAGAGCATTTGCACTTTAATCTATGCTTAACAGAGCGCCTGAAGAATGAGCTTCGCTTCCAGTGTTGTTGGTTTTTGTCCTTAAAGATGGCTTTTTCATTTTCTTTTGAGATCTCTGTGTCAAAATCTTAAGGGAAGACAAAAACTGCCCCGGCTCGACTCAGCTGGTGAAATGGTACGTTGATCACACACTCACACAGCAGTTACAGTGCGTGAATTCTGAAAGGTAGCTCTCTAGTTAGCAACTGTAAGGAAAGCTTCACCCTGTGGAAGCAAGCAAGTGCCCAGCTCGTGTTCTTAGTGCCTGATCTTCGCTATCTGGTTGTGGCTAAGTTCTTGTCATGCTTTTATCCATCATAACACGCAGTCAGGCATCAGAAACAGTGCTGTGAACACATGGATGGTTGCAGGCACAGGACTGCATCGTGTACACACCACAGAGAATTCCTGAGGGTTGAATGTATTCAAAAGAACCGTAAGGAAGAGGTGCATTTGCAGGCTGTCCTTAGAGGTGAAGCTAATAGGAATCAGGACTAGCTGGGCTGTTTGCTTTTTGCAGGATGTTGGGATGCTACGATGCCTTGCAGAAGAAATACGTAAGTCTTCCAGTGTTATTCAGCTATTTGAAGTGCATTTAAATATTCGTGTATGTGATTCCACTGCTTGCCACTGCAGCCAGGGGAGCCTCTGGTTACAGGAAAACTGTTCTTTGATGCACTGAAACAGCTAAAGTGTGGGAGTTCAGGGTACTGTTTGTTGTGTGCTCGATCTCTGGAGGCCACATAAGCAAATCCTTTCTCCAAGAGATGAGCTGAACGTATGAAGAGCTTGATTGCTTTGAGTAGGCCTGGAGTGGTCATAGTTGGTTTTGAGAGCTGAAGAAACAAAACAGCAGAAGTGGGCTGAGCACATCTGACGTTGTTCTTTTTGCTTCTCACAGCTGAGGATGGTCGTCCTGGCGGTAAGTGGTGGAAGAGTAAAGCCCTTGTGTCTAAAGGCTGGTGCTCGGATGTGTGTGTGGGTCTTAATCTGTCCCCTGCCCTTCCTTTCAAACCTCCAGGTCTACACCCACCCGGAAGATCCTCAGGTAAATCTGGCAGAGCAGGAATGTTTGGATAGAAAACTCCAGACTAAATCTTGGAGTTTCTTTCACGTGAATTCATCCTGGCAGCCCCTGGCTCAGCTTCGTTGGGCTTTGGTGACTTTGTGCGTGTTAAATCTGGTAAGGATTCAAATGCAGTGTTTCAAATGCATTGGAGAAGAGTTAAGGACTGTGATTTAAATAAAGGTCAGTCGGGGACTGGATGGAAGCAGCAGCATTATTGGCTTCCTTGACAACTGATAATTTAATAATTACTGCATTTGTTTGCAGACAATTACAGAATGTTACCACTTCAAATTCAAGTACACCCCCAGCGGGCCGGTCCTGAACCTCAGCAGGTACTGCCAGCCTGCCCTGCCCAGGAGTTCTTTGGTCTGTCTGTAATTCTAGATCAGCGTGGTCCATTATTTAGCCTTAGTTTTAAAACACAGTGAATCATTTCAGCATTTAAACTCGCACAGTTCTCAGTTGCGTGTCTTAAAACAGCAGCCCTTCAGTCTGTATGAAAGCTGAGTGTTCTCTGTTTGCAGTAAGAACAAACAGAGCGATTCTGCCATCAGCTGTGCAGACACCAAGAAGGCGAGCATCCTCCTCATCCGCAAGATCTACGTTCTGATGCAGAACCTGGGCCCGCTCCCAAACAACGTCTGCCTGACAATGAAGCTCTTCTACTATGATGAAGGTGGTGTTTCCCCATCGTTTTGACTGATGTGCTGTGCCGAGATCCTTGAGAGCGATTAAAAGAAAGAATTTCACGTGTAATCTTTACATTTGCTGGGGCTTGATTATTTCTCAGGACGGTTTCTGAAGTGCAGGGGGCGCTGCTCTGATCTCCCAGCAGGAATACGGCCTTACAGCTGACTTGGTTGCAGTGGGAGTTTTAAGGACAAACTGGGTTGTTCTGAGTGCATTAGGAAGTGCTGTGTGCCAGTTGGTGCTGCCCTCTCAATGTCTGGCAGCAGCTGCTGCTTTTTAGAGGAATTTCTAGCTCATCTGCTTGCCTGCGTGAACTGTTTCAAACGGTTGTTGTAGAGGGAAAGAACTTCATTTAGTACGAGTGGAATGTTAGTAATTCCTTTCCTCCCACACGCGTTTTTTAACAGCTTTGTATTCAAGGCAGAAAAGTCTCTTAACCCCGTAAGCTGAGCTGCTTTTCTCCTGCAGTTACACCACCTGATTATCAGCCCCCTGGCTTCAAGGAGAGCGAATGTGAGGGGATGATATTCGAGGGAGAGCCCATGTACCTGAACATGGGTGAGGTGCCAACGCCGTTCCACATGCTGAAAGTGAAAGTCACAACTGACAAACAGAGAGTAGAAAACTGCGATGAAAGCATTCTGAAGCAAAAAGAGCCCAGTCTGCCCCCGCCGGTGCTCACGGTGGATGGAGATGAAGCAGAAGAAAGCCAGCACAACAAGGTGAGAACTCGAGTGCTGCTGCAGCTTTAGGAACTGTTTTCAATCTGTGTGGTAGAAAGGGGCCATTAATTCTGCTGCATCTGTTAGTGTGGTGTTATGAACAAGGAATGCAGTGTTTCTGTGGCACTCTGAGGAAGATGTTATGTGCTCAAAGTTTTTTTCTAGGATTGCAGTCATTTCAGATGGATGTTCTTCAGTGACTGAGTTCCATCTCTGCCTGCTTGCGTTGATGGGGAAGTAACACTGAGCTGGGCTGCACATCCTGTATCAGATTCAATAACTTTATAAATACGTGTTGTTTCACTTAGAATCCATCTGAGGAGATCTGACTGCTGTGAGCAGGAGCTCTCTGCTTCTGTCTGCAGTAATTGGGCCCCTTTCTCATTCCAGGAAGATCCCGCGTTGGATAACAAAGCAGGAGATGGTGATCATGCAGATGCTTTGGAAGCTCAAGGTAGAACTTGTGTTTTATTTCAATACAAGAGGTTTACAAAGCTGTCTGAAATAATGCTGCTGTCATCCTGCAATCCTTGGCTCGTTTAGCATGGCTGAAGAGCAGCACTGTGCTGATCTGTGGACTGTAGGGAAGACTGCATGGATTGGAAACAGGAGGAAGCACCCATTCTTTATCTGTGGTGCACGATTCCTCCCCCAGCTCAGAGCCCTGCAGAGGTGTGAGGCTGGGAGTGCATTGCTCACACTGTGCTTCGCTTTGCTTTCTTACAGAGGAGGATTTTCCTTGTGGAAGGGATGAAGTTTTGAAGGAGAACAGAAATCAGTACGTCTCCAATCCTCAGGTATGAAAGCTGAAAATGGGAAAACCTCATTTAAATGTGGAGGATGACTTCAAAAGCAGGTGCTGAAGGTTCTTAAGGCAGAACAGCCCCAGGTACCTGAGTGCTTTAGGAAATGCTTTGCAGCATTTATTTTCAGATTGTTTTCTTTAGGTTGATCATCTGGCCAGGAAGACCTCTGAACTTAATGTGTCAGAAAGCAGGACGAGGAGTGGGAAGTTATTCCAAGCCTACATTGTGAGTGTCAGCTTTTCTTTACTTCTTCGAGATGTTTTCTGCTCCAGTGAATAAAACTGTCGGCTTTGCTACACTTTATGCTGAAATAATGGAATTCTCATTGCGTTGATTGATGGACATCAGCACGTTCTGATCCTTAGCGTCAAACCAAGTCTGTTCCAAAGAGCTGAAAGCTGAGCACAGGTTGAGGCAAAGCTCATTAGGATTGATTGATATTTGCTAGAGAATAGACTTAGCGAAGCTCCCTGCCGCCTCGACGCGCTGCTGGGAGGGAGCCGGGTTCCGCTGGGCCTGCAGGTGGAGCAGCGGCGTCTGTGCTGCCATCTGCCCTTGGGAGGGAGGCAGCGTTGGGTCCCCCGCCCCCAGCGCTCGGTGCTTCTCCCCGTGCTCAGTTCCGTGACGGCGCCGTAACGCCGGC